GAAAATAATATTATGATCATGTGGTTTCAACGTAACGCAATATTGATGGAAGAATGGTATTCCAAGCACAATTACATTTGGATCATTATCTTCGTATGATTCGAGTAGTGTTCCAGGCTTAGATAAATAGTAAATAATTTTTTCACTCTTTCTGAACGCAAGTTCGCATAATATATCGTCCGGCTGCAATATTAATTTTTACGATATTCTTCCCGAATAATATCGATGAGAGAAGAGTTTTTTTATCATTTGAAAGTGTTAAATTAAAGAATAGACAAGAACGATAACTACTGGCACTGTAATAAAATTCAATTATCATATTGCAACGAAATAGAATGGAATATTTTTAGGGATAATGCAAATATGAAATCAGCCCAGCGCTTTTGTCTTCCTCATCTACTATTGGGATATTTCATTAGATTAGAAAAGAATAAGAACATACATTATGTTTGATTATGAAATGTTGTGGCGGAACGACGTAAGTGTTACTATCGGTGGATATCTCGAATGGTTGATATGTATCATAAGGGACAGGTCCCTTACACTCTATCTTATATTTGTTCTCTGATGAATCGAACTGAAATATTTTGATTTTAAGGAAACAACAAATGTAACATTTAGCAAAATAACTAAAACCGGAGTCAGTAAAATTATGAATTATTACTACCAACCGTTGCATTGAGATTCGTAACGATTTTACGCAGGAATTTATCCGGAACACTGATAAACGGCTCAATAGTGTTCAGATAAGCAAATGATACAATAGAAGACATCATGTCGCCCATCTTGATGGAGTTATATTTGAATTCATAATGATTTTCGAAATGATTTGATGCCATGTGATGAGAAGGAGGAAGAGATACACGAGATTGCTGCCCAATGTTTACACTAATCAAACGAAGCAATTCAGTGATTTCATACTTCATACGAAATGTCTCAGTGGTTTCATAATTCAAATCGCATAATTGGTTATTACGTCCACCAAGCGTTAAAATCGCTGTTTTATTAGAATCCTATATTTTCAATGTTATTCTGTTCAATCATAATTTACAGTGACATTAAGAAAAGTTCAAAAAGAAGTTGGAAATAATGATATCACGCGTCAATTGCAAATTCGTGGGAAATTTAGCTAATAATAAGACGGAAAATGACAATAATTTTTCATCAGATAAGTTATGAATTAATCGCGCTATCCAATCAAATTGCTTAGATATAGTGAAAATAGTTTTGTCTTCCCGTTACGCAGATATTATGCTAATAAAATGAAAAAAAATGAAGCGTTTCATTACCATTGGTGGCAATGCAATGGTAATAACTAGATATGATCGATTATTCCAGGAAGAAGAACTGCCAGAAACTCCATATGGAATGCCAATACCAAATAAACCATCGATTCGTTGATAATCTTCGCGTTTAGGCCATATGATAATCTTTACTTTACAGAATGGAAAACTTGTGAAATCAACATGTGTTCCATCTAGTAAATTAAACTGAAAAAATAATTTGTCTAAATTTTAGTTGGTATTACGAAAATAATATTTTTTGAATGGAATTATTTGAAAGTATCGTTGTTATTACCAGGTGAATTAGGCAGAAGACTTTCGTTACAATCTCTTACGATAAATGAAGTAAAATTAATTGAGCATTATCAATTTTGATATATGTGTTATCCATAAATTAGCAGGAAAGACTCGGTAAAACAAAAGCAGAAAAACAAAAGAACACCGAAATCTTATCCCATTCCGTACACAATGCAACTGATCTGGAACCGTAAGTTTCAACCAACAAAAGTGGATTTTCTTTCTTGAAGGTTTGTGATTGCAGGAATGTGTACGCTTGCTTGTTTTTCGGAAGTATCTCTCTGTAATTTGATGAAGATAATCTGGGATACTTTTAATAAATGAATTATTGAAATTTTTCTGACTTAATTTTTCAGACTCAATTTTAAAACTTCATCTTACTCTGTTTTTACTGCAAAATTTGAAATATTTTCCGCAGATATTTTCCGCATTTTTAGATGTATGAATGATGAAAAAAAGCAGCAAAGCTAAAACATACGTATATTTAGAAGGATAAATCCAAATAATTGCGGTAGCAATATCCAAAAGTAGAGAGAACTCTTTTTTCGGTTCACCAATCAACATCTTTACAGTATATCCGGTATGTTTCTAAAAGGTATTACCAAACTTATGAGCAATGAAATTTACCTCATTTAATTTATTGACAGAAAAATGATACAATTAATTAATTAACGTACGTTCGATTTGCTATAAACGGGATGTAGTTCAATTTGATGCTCAGCAAATATCGATGTCGCTTGAAGACAACAAAAGATAATTGCCAAATTGATTAACGTATTTCTCATCTTTCTGTCTAGAATTGGATTGAATGGGTCAAAGGACAAAAATGTACGAGCATTTCGTATTCAACACAATATATGTATGGCAGCATCTCTATAGACATTTTACTTGACGTGTAATATCACTATTGATTCTAATCAAACTTTTAAAGAATCCAGATTTCTAAAACTAATATGATTTAAGTAATTGAAAGTTATTATCAGAGTAGGAGCTTCTGTTTATCGTAGATCCCACGGGGAACTTCTCGGAAAATTGAAAAACACCTCTGTGACATTTTATTGTAAATGTAATCGGAAAAAATTTTATTTGCTCATTTTTGTCTGAGCTTTAAAATTAGGGAATCCAATTTCATTTGTAATTAATATAACTGTTTTAATTTCATTACTAGTATTTTTGTCTGACTTCTCGTTGACACCAGAATTATCATTCTACAATATAATTTAGGCACGCTCACTAATGATTTTCTCAGTTTCTATTTTGCATACAATTTCAATGAATAAATCAATTTCTAATATCTCAAAACCACTAGGTCTTCTTGATTATTGGCTGATTGATCATTTCTTTGAATTATTTCCTATGAACTTACTGATACTTACAGTATCAAGTACCATCAAATTCTTGTGTTGTTACTTTCTGTACTTGAAGGGAAAACTGAAGACATTTTTATAATTCACTATATCCTAATATCTATGAACCGTTTTAAAAAAACCGAAATCCGATGAGTTGACTTCAATGAATAATGAATCGAATTTCTTCACAACAACATGTTGTGAGTTGTGGTTTTCGTTGATAAAATTGAATTATCGATACCTTTGATTTCAGGACGAAAAAGTTTTGCTTGAATTGTCTGTTAATTGATAGCTCTCCTTCTTTATAGAGCATTTTTAGACCAATTCATTCATGATATTTGCATTGTTGTAGTTTTCGTGTTCTTTGGATTATGTGCTTGTCAGAATAAAATTGCATTTTCGTTTTGCAAGTGATTATTACAGGTAGACTAATATGACAATGCATACTGTAAATTTATTCATTTAATATGCAAAAGCAATAAAATTGCATTATAGTTTTGCAAGTGATTATTACAGGTAGATTTTAGTATGACAATGATTCATACTGTAAATCCTTCATTCATTTAATATGCTAAAGCAATAAAAATGTATTTGTCGTATTTCTTGAATTGATGAATATCTCTGAAATTTGTCAGAGCTTTCTCCAAAAAGAAAGGAAAACCCAATTTAACTAAGAGTAATTGATTATTCGGTGATGAATGCATTTGTTAATTATTTGATATAGTATTGATTAATCAAATTTTCGAAATAGTAAAAGTTAAATCAATATTAAATTGAAATCACTGAAGTTAATATTTTCTTCAGATAATCCTAATATAATTAATGATTCAAAAAAACGAAAGATAAAATTTCGTATGCATTTTAGTGCCTGCTATTTTCAAATTTCTAATTTTTTTCATTGATCTTCCAACTATCAGACAACCTATCAAAATGTTGTCAACAGATTGCTACGTGATATGACAATTGTAATTAACTTTATCATATCAAATTAATTCTCTGCAAAATACAGAAATATTTATATTATTATTGACAGTGTTAACTTTTTTTGAAATGATTTTATCAAATTTTATCAAATGTGATAAATTCAGTAATTTTTTCTGTTAATTCAATATTTCCTTCTTGCTCCAAATGTTTCTCTTTTTTAAAGCATTCTTGAATTACCAGTCAACAGAATAATTTGTTTATGTGTTGGATTAACAAATTAGTTGAATAGATTTATGAAAACATTTGATTGGAAAAAGGACCAAGTATTTTCGAACTATTATAGCAATTGATTAGCAGGATAAAATAAAACTAATCAATAAAATAGAGAAAAAATTTGACGTAGACCGGATGATTTTTTGCTAAACTAAAAATTATAAAATTCTTAAAACAATTCTGAATAAATCAAACGAATTTTTTGATGTTTATTGAATTTTTGATGTCATTATGCAAATTTTTCGATTGCCATTTATGCGATGTAATTTTTTTAATATGATTTTTGTTACAAATTTGTTGGATTGTACTAATTCAATCCTAAAATACATTCCCGACTTTTCGTTTCAAAAATGTATTAGTGATTTCTTTCAATTAATACACTTATCACATCTATTTTATGATTTACTTATAAGCTATAATTGGAAGTGCAGATCAGATGAAATTTTTTTTTTGGAAGATATTGAAAAGAAGATCAATCCGATTTATGAAATCCTTCTACCCAGTATCTAAATATCGAAATAAGCAAATAAAGACAAAGTATAATGGTTAAATGGTACTTCGTATAAATTTTCTTTTACTAACTTTCTGAGTATTTCTATAGCACATATCTCCTGAATATTTCAATATATTTAATCCTATCGGTTTCCGTAAAAAGCACTCTCCCACTATATTTTTTACAAATATCAGCAATAAAGAAAACGGACATAAAAAATGCACTGATGAAAACAATATCATAGAGAAATAAGCTCAAATCTTCAACTGTACGAGAATCAGCCGTTCCGAGCGGTAGCATTCTGTGCTTCCTGGTAATGTAATCTCCAATGGTGTGGAGCACTACCATCCATGGCGCAATATGTCCGAAGAATTGTCTAAAATTTTTCTAATTTTCATTACTTTATAAATCGGTGTTACTCACTCTTTTAGCTAATAAAACACATTACATTATTGAATACTTAAATTTTCGTCAAAATGAATGTAAAAGTCGTTTCTTTTTTAAAAAACTTAATTTGCTTAATTTCACAGCTTTGGATTGAGTCTCTTATTCTCAAGTTTTAACTTTCGAAATCAAATCAATAAGATATGCTGGAATAGTTAGTAAATTGATTTCAATGCTCTAGCACTTGCGATATTTTCGCTCCATCAACTGTCGATGAAAAGATGGTGAAGCTTAGGAGGAAACAACTTAACAGAAGGTATGCCACGGAGGAGAACGTTAAATATACCCTTCCTATCTCATTTTCAATCTCATTTTTTTTATGTATAATATGGACTTTTTGTAATATTTCGAGTAAACTTTCTGCCTTATCCTTCGGAGCATGAAGAAGTATTTTAATTATCTGCTTTTTACTTAAAAGACTTTCTCATGCTGAGAAACACAATACAAAGATCAACTACTTTTTCAGGGTACAATCTTCGTTATATGCCGAAACAAAATTTACGTACCATTGGATCAACGACAGATTTTGCCCGAGGTCCCCATTCATATGTTACGGTATCGCGGCCGCTTTCATCCGTTCCCTTCGTGAAAGCTAACCAGCCTCAAATGAAAAGCCATATTTCACTCGTCAAAGTTTCTTAGAACAGAGATTAAACGAACAAAACTAGGTAATGACACTAAAACTATTACATTGGACCAAAAAAATTTGGTAAAGAATCCATCAAAAACAAACTAGCAGAGAATGAGTCCTGAAATCCCTTAAATCAATTTCTATAATTCTGACTTTACATAAGTGATTTGAATCAAATAAAAAAAACCAGTTCGAAAAGAAGTCTCACCTTGTGAAATGAATTCAGCAGTATATGCGGCTCCGAGCAATTTATTCAGATTCGTTTGGTTCCCAAAACAACTGTTCTCAGTAATACCCATTTCTTTCTTAGGTAATAATATCAAGATTATTACACTTAAAAGCAAGTTAAACTTTCCTAATGGATGTTATAACTTAATATCCTATTAAAAGTCTTAAAAGATTTTCAATAAAGAAAACCTAACAAAAACAAAGACAAATTTACCAAGAAGTTTTTTAGTGAATTCTCCGAAACGGTATAACTAGGAGAACCAGGACGATGCATCATATAAATGAACATCAGAACTGCAATTAATAGTCCATATTTTGCTTTATCCTATAACAAAACATGCGATACAAATCATTTTTTGTGAAAATTAAAAAACCTGAGATCTTAAAAATCATAAAACATTCATAACAGCGGCAAAAGAAATACTTCATCTGAATAACAATGGTTCTCATCAGTGGTATCATGTTCGGTTTTCAAGGCATTTTTAACATACAATTGGTATCCCTGCGGAGTTTTTGTTTTGCATACCTGTAATGGATGAACTCTTGAAATTCGAACTGTGAAATGCAGTCTTAATCTAAAAAAAAAGAAAACGAAGAATAAATTTATGCTCTTTAGGATAAAGATGTAAAGCATTCTAAACCAATGTTCGAACTAATTAAGTTCTGATTAATTCGTGAATTGTGGAAAAAATACCTCTATGCCAATAATCTTATCTAAAACATCAATTGCTTGGTCGATACATCGCTCCCATATTCTAATATTTGAAAGTTTGGTGCACTTCTTTCTTCTGCTCTGAAAGAACGCGAATTAAAAAAAATAAATGTAAAAATTTTATAGAGCTCCTTTCATCATAAGAGAAAAACAGTAAGCAACTGTGGTTCAGTTTCGTTCTAGGAAAAAGTTATGTTATGGAAAAGGAAGCTTGGAAAGAAATGTGTGAACCCATAGTCTCTTTACAGTCTTTGTTAAGTCTTTCTAAATAAGCCCAATTTCTGGAATTCCACACAGTAATACCTGCAGGTAGAGAATCAACTGAGCCAATTCAGAAGTCTCCTGTTCCAACTTTTGGTTTATTCTTTCATCAAGAATTACTTCCTCGTGAATACACATATTCAGCAGAGCTTAAAAATATCAATCCAAAGATTTTAAATACGATCGATGAAGCTTTCTTCAAGCGCGAAAACGTTACATTTAAAAGCAGGATCACAAATGCTACATGTCCATGATGGCCTAATGTATCACTGATTAAAAAAATTAAACAACCTGAACATAATTCATAATAAATAAATGCCTTTCCAATCTCTGATACAAGTATTTAGTACTTGAAAGTTGAGAAGAAATAAGCCAATATATTTCTTATTCAATTGAAATGACTTACAACAGTGTGAACATTAGCTTATGAACGGAATGTGCAAAACAACGAATTAATTATGGAAAAGCTGGATTTTTGGGAAGAGAATGAATAAACTGTCCTCCGTTACCCAACCTTCCTTTCTCTCTCTCTCTCTCTTTCTCTTTCAAGATCGAATGAAATACATGATTTAAATTAATGGGCCAAATAACGTCAATCTAACGTTTACTGTCATAAAGTTTCCAAATGAAATTTTCTTCCGTCGTAATACAACTATCAGTAACAACAATTAAGTTCTAATAAATGTTCGGCAGAAAAAATGAAGGAAAGAAATTAGACAGTGATAAAAAGATTCTCGTCAGTTCATTTCTATTAGCTTACCTATTTCGAATTTGTGTTTTGTTCCATTCACAATAATTTTCCCAAACATTTAATCTGACTATGCAGTTATCAAACCGTTCAATCCTTTTCTTGAATATCATATCGGTCTAAATGCCTTGCGCTCACGAAACAAGCCGCATTCCTTAAATCCTAAGCCTATCTTCTGAATTGAAGTTTATGGATAAAACTAAAGAGCCAGATCAAAGTTAACCGTATTATAAAAACTCGATCCCGAATTCACTTTTCCTTCGAAAAACTTTGCATAAAATATGCAGTTTCAGTAACTGACGTCAAGCTTATTTAGATTTAAGATTTCATATGCAAATTTGTGGCATTGTGCTCAAATTTTCTGAGTTGGCCTAACATAAAAGGCAGGCGCACAGTCTTTCCCACAAACTTTTTTGTTTTATGAGGGAGCCAAAAAAATTAACTTGGACCGCTGGCACTGCAACAGGAACAAGAGACTTTGATCCAGATTTCCATTATACAATCGCCCTCTCCTGAAGATGGCTCATAATTTTGCTACAGTTTTCTTTCGATCATATTAATCGGAAAATCATAGCGCGACAAAGGGGAAGAACTAGGAATATTAGAAGTTATTAAAACCACAGATGAAAGAAGACAAGAAATGTGCATCAATAAAATGAAAGCGGATAAATGCGGTTTATATCCCATTTGCCTTAAGTTGTTTCTTATTCTGAGAATGGGTAAGGAGTCAATTTTCGTCTCTTCTTAAGTGAAGTAGTACTGACCGCAGACGTGAAGATATTAGATTTTGGATATTTCTCTCCTCAGATCTCATGAAACAGTAGCGCACTATACATAACAATAAATTTCGGGAAGAAAAATTTAAAAGTAATAGCAGGCGTCCAGCAAGAAGCTGAAGAAGAGCTAGTAACGGTTGCTCCGGCGATGTTTATTGTAAAACCAAATGGAACAACATCAGCAGAATCAAGTAAATCAACAGTAATTTCGACTCAAAAAACACCAAATAAAGTGAAATGTACACTATTACCCATAGAGCCAACCTGCCTTGAACAGAAACATATCGAAATGTGCAGCATTAGCTATAGGGTCAACTGTTCCTGCCTCCCATCGGAATGCACATATATCTATGGGGCCAACAGTTCCCACCGCGATCGCGATCGCAAGCCAAAGCTGGAAGGAATATTGATTGGTATGGTAGTGCCATCCCGAATCGACCGGATCGGAAAGCAATCGGTACATAGATAAGTAACCAATGCTAATGAAATCACCGCACACGAATAACAAACAACGTCCAAAACTAGACAAAATTTGAAAACCCAGTGCAGATGAGCACTAAATTTAACGGATCTACTGGGGACGCATTAAATTGTGATCATGTGTTAGCTTTATAGTGTTTTAGAGGGAGTTTGCGATCAAGTTGCAACTAGTCGCAGGCAAGTTTTGCGTTTGGGTGGAACTGATGGTGGATAATTAAAGTTTTTGTTTTTATAAAATAAGATTGGAAGTAATGATAGTTCAAATTTAGTAGTAATTAAAGTTGATAAGGGGTTATAATTTATGTTAGCTAGCTGGATTTGATACAGCCATTTTTCGAAGTCGTCCTTAACGATTTTGAATGTTCATTTTCACTGTTTACGATTATGGCGTCAATGTCTTCGCTAAATTGCTTTCGTAAATGCACTTTAGAAGTTTATACACTAATTCGAGTTGTTCCTTAGGTGGTGAAATGCAAGGCAATCTTTCCAGTCAACAGTTCCAATCATTGACAACTCATTTGGATCATTGTATGTTTCGATCTTATTTTCTGTGTAATCGCCAAAGTAGATAAAGTGAAAGTTTAATTTAGAACAGTTATTGAGAAAATACATAATTATCGGGGAAACATCGAATTTTCAGTTATAAATGAAACTTTGAACTTGGGAAAGATGTCTGCAGAGATTTTTATTGCGAAAACTACTCAGAGAAATGAGAAAATGTGAACAAAGATTAATTGGAATAAAATTTAAATAAATTGTTTAATTTTACAGCATAGACTTTCAGGTCTGAATGCGTTGCGCTTACTTCGAAACGAAGTCATATCTGTACATCGCCGAATAGTGGAAGGTAGTTGGGAAAGTGATCCAGCCGAAGGTGAAAAGACGCTAGAAGAGAAACTCGACTTTATTAATCAAATTTACGAGTAAATTTTTTTACGCTGTTTTAAAAATTGTTCTTCATCAAATTGAATTTATAAGTCGAAGTATGCCATTGAGCCAAAACTCTACTTTTTATATATTTTATATATATTAGAGTATGTTACAAATTTTATACATTCGCTCTAAAAATCAAAATATACTAGAATCAATGATACGATTCTGTTTAGAGAATGTTACTTTTATTCAGCTGAGGGATATCCTGTTAATAAAGCTTAGCTCATATTTTGTTTAAAATATCCAATTTGTTTGTATAATATAGCCTTATTCGATTTACCCTTTTCCTTATAGTATAATAATCTTCGACAAGTTGGTTGATTGCATTATCTTATGGTTACTGTAGAAACTTCTTTCATTTGATTTGTATATGTCGTATATGATGTTCATTTTTAAAGTAAGTGACATATTCTGCCGACAGTGGTATTCTTTCCTCTTCTTGTAGTAACTTGGAATCGCACGCAAAACAACTGCCAGTCTCGACACCTATGACGGTACAAATGGAGCGTCTGAGTCGATTTCTGCATGATGGACAGATTGACCCACATACTAGTGAATTATACGATAAAGCGCTAGAAGCATCTACATGGATGGAAACAAACAATGTTCTTTTCTTTTTTATGTTTCTCATATTCCTGCTGTTCCCACATAGTTTTTTCCTTAAGCTTTGAAATTTATATATTTCAGCAGTTATTGCAAATGTATGCGGAATTTCTGCGCACCGTTGTGGGTAATCGGCGGCGATCAATAATGACAGACCGTCCAATATCATACTCAAACTATGGATTAAATTCATCACCACAAAGTATTTTTGAGCAAACACTAACAGTTGTACTGAAAGATCCAAATATTAAGAAAATTGGACTTGTTGGACGGTATTTGGAAAGAAGTACTCTATCAGCTCTTGTTGAAGTAAGTGCCGCTACTGTGTTATGTTATTAATGTGGTTGCAGAACTTAATGCTTGTAAACATCAATTATTTGTAATTCTGTTGAATTACAAATAATTGAACATGCACATATTTGTCATACACATATTGATGAGTTCATTTTTACTGAAAAGATGGGTTTATTTGATTTTTGCAGAATTCATGTTATTAAAAATTTTTTTTTAAATCATTTGCTCAGCTAGAAATAAATCATGTGAGAGGTATGGGAGGGTTGCTAGACTTCTGAAGTCAATCAGTGGATCATTTTATTTTTTCCTTTTGCAGTTCAAATTTGGACAAGTGATAGATAAACAATATGTCTGTTTGCTCAAAATGCTTATGGTTGTCAATAGTGGTGTACCAGAATTCGTGCAAATGATTGCTCCTCATGAAGAATGGTCTTATTTGGATGTTGGCTGTAGTCAAGTTTGCAATTTTCATCGGATTTGTTTTTGCTTTTCAGTAGAATATTAAATCTTTGTTGATTCCCATATGAAGTTATCTATTTCTTAAGAAGCAAGAAAAGTGAGGTTGATTTTCACGAATATTATGCATTGAAAAATTGAATTTGGATTTTGACTCATCCATAAAGTTTATCCGATGTGGATGAAGAATATTCAAGTATTCTTTCTTTTAGGTTGACATTCATAAGGAGAGTAGATATTTGGTATATCGGAAGATGAGTGTTCAAGCAAATATACATTTGATGCAGACAATAATGCCGTGTATTGACATTCGAAATGCACACACACTTTCATATGTCCTAAATCTATTTGCGAAATTTTCTGGAGTATTTGATATAAAATGTCGCGTTTGCAAGTAAGCTTATTTTTCGTTCTTTTACTTATGAAATATGATTACCTAAGCAAAATTGGATGCAAAATACGTTATCAAATACAAATTGCTAATAGAGTTGCAAGGATTCGTTCAGAAATTCATACATGTAAAATATGAGCCATGCGAGCTATTAGGCACTAAAATATTTAGGACTAAATGTCGAGTATCCCCCTTTTCTCAGTTAATGCAATGTAGAATCTTATATCTTTCAGAAAGATAATGAAAGACTATTTGCCGCCACTGATGTTCGATCTTCGGTGTCCGAAGAACGCATTACATGAATCATGTCGATAATTTTTCACTTATTTGAAAGTTCTAGTCATGTAGGTGACTTAAATTGTGTTGTTCTCAATAGTTAAGTTCATTCATTTTTTTCTTTCCTAGTATTGTTAAATACTTGGGAAAAATAAATTGTTATGAATCTTTGGAGTTACATTTGACATCTTTAATCTCTGATTTTTAAAAGTTAAGGTTAAATTGTTCAGCTTTGCGTTGTAAATATTGTAATAAGTTGTAGCCAAAATATCTCCTCTTTGTTTGTGTATTTCAATGTTGTGTGTATTCTCTTGTTCTGCTCTTGGCCTTGCTTTACTTAATCTATTTCATGGTTCATTTTCTTAAGATTTTGATTCAAAGTGGTGAAACTACCAAGTTTTTTTTTGGTAGTTTAAATATACTTTTACTCACCCATTACGTGTATTTCCTGTTTCATTAATAAGGAATGAAATAAAATGTTTACAAGTTTTTCTTTTTACTCTTCGTCATTCAGCGACATTTTATATTCAGGCATATATAAGTGATATTTTATCAACTTCTATCAATTTTAATTGCTCATTTTATTTTGCAGTTGACTTTTGTAAGGGAAGTGAATGAAGTGAATGAAGCGATTTTTTACTTATTTACGTTCGGCTGTCGCTCAGCTAGACCAAGATCATTCAACAAGTCGCGTAAGTTTCTATGTTTCCGCCTCTGAAGTTAGAAAAATTTTATAATTACTTGGATTGATGGACATTATTGTGAAGTACATATTTGTGGGAAGTTTCACTTATTCGAACAATCAGCAGAATTTGGAACACAAGTCGAGTGTACTGAATGTGTGATGATGCATCATTTCCTCAATTGATATCATTGTGTTATTTGACTTCAAGAAAATTTCGTATTTAAAAAGTGGTTTGTGAAGAATACGCAGCTTTTAAGTGTAGAACGGTTTTCGGCGAAATCTTTCAAATCCATCCTGTAAAAATTATGGTATTTTAGAGAGTGGCAAAGATTGACGGTGCCGAACGCGTTACAGTAGATTCGTCGGCATTGCATTGTCCAGTTTGTTTTTGTATATTTTCTTCTACGCCGTTTATCTTCAACTGTGGTCATTCATTTTGTCGGAATTGTGTCAAGAAGCTTGTCGAAAACTCATATTCCGACACGGCGCGGTTTCGTTTCTTCATCTCGTTTTCATTTGTTAATATAAGTAGGGTATAATCACTGATTTGAATTAATAACATTCAAATAATGTTATAAAAAATAACGCAAATGGACATGCAAGATCGACGTTTATGCGCGCATTTTTCCGCATATTTTTCTATGAGTTGTATGATGACATTTGTAAACCTGTTTTTTTAATTTCTTATTTTTTAAATTTCCAACTAACTCGACGTTCAATTGTTCCAGCTTATGATTTGAGTCAATTTTTTACAGGTTTTTGAATGTCCTATGTGTCGACAAGTAACTTCCTCTGAAGCTCATTTCACTAAAAATTACTTAGCTGGCGCTCTGTTGCAATCAGTATGCGAAATTACTCAGAATGAAAAAGAAAGCTCTGTGGATTCTAATTTAAGGATTTCGGTATTTTTTACTTCCTTTTTCTATAGAAAACCTCCGATTTTTTAATTTTTATTTTTCGTTTGCTCATCGTTAATCCAACCATTGGATTGATTAAAACATGCATGATAATTAAGTGTGCTGTGTGCTGCAATAGATGGAGCACTGCGCAAGATGACAGTCTGACCTTGTTGATTTGCGAGAAAATGTCCTTATTTGTGCAAGTTTATTGCTCTACTGCTTGAAAGATTTTTCAGCTTCAACTGATTTCACGAAAATTTCTGGAAGAGCAAGAGAAAAATAGCATTTTACGGAAAAAATATGAAGAGGAACGAGTTCGCAGTCGGCGCTATCTTATTCTATTGGTTATGGAGAGTGCATTATTTGTAGGTTCGGCGCTTTTATCCAATATATTATTTTCCTAATCCCAACATTAGTGCATTGTATCATTAAAATGTTGTCCTTGCATCGTTGAGTTTTAGCTGTTTTGAATTTTTTTTCTGACTCCTTGGTGTATTGCACTTGATGCATATTTTACTGTTATAATATTTAGATTTAGATGTGAAGTTTTTCTTTCTTAGAATAAAAACAGTGAAGCTTTTCAATTGTTATTGAAGCAGATATTAAGTTTCTTATTCTAATTTTAATTCTGTGATTTGTAAATATTAAATTTATTTGCTCCTTCTGTAAAAATTTTCATCATGTTTGAAGAAACCAATTCAAATTAAAAACTAATTTGAAATAACTTGACTTACGATCTAATGCAATGTATTCCCATCCAACAATCATTGCGGTGGATCCAAATTTACTTATCAAATCATTTGTTCCACTCATGTATTGCAAGTCCATATATTTGTCAACACGGTGATGCAAACCTCAAACTTTTGATGAAGCGACGCAAGAAAATTCTAAAAAAAGAATGAAGAAGGTTGGGTTGGGAGTGATGAAGGCAAATGAAGTAGGGAAATAAAAAGGAAAGAAATTCAAATTTCAATTAATACTCAAAAGATTTCAGGTTCCTAAACTGTGTCAACAGAAAAGAAACTAGGTGGCTTTTGGTAATGAACCATGCCAATATATTCGAATGTTTTGTTTTGCGATTTGAAAACACAAGCGAAGTAAATTTCACTAACAATTATTAAAGTTTATGTGTAACGACCAATAGAGGCGTACAAAATATAGATACGTGACAGTAACACGGAAATTCTTCAGTAAAAACAAAGACGAATCATGAAGTAATCATAGGTAATCCTGATGTTTAACAACCAAAATGCTCAATTTGTACACATTCTGCTTTCTCAGATTAGATCATAGACTGAATTCACTAATGAATGCTTTATGCACGGCTTGACGAAATTAAATTTTCAGTACCTTGCAATATAAGACATAGCTTTTGAAAAAGTAAAAGTTCAAATCATATTCAAAAAACGACTATAGCACCACTGATAAAAATCATACTAAATTAATGGGAATTTTTTTTACAGCTAACTTATTTCAGATCCGCATAAGTCTTCGAGAAATGGAAACAGTATGATCCGATTCTGCACAGGTAATACTAAAAGAATCGGCAAATATTTTTTCTAATATAGCAGATTAAATATAATAAAATAAACAAAGATATGTATATACAAAAACGAAAAGCATCAAAATAAGGATGGAGTTTAGAATGAATTTTCAAAATCAAATCGTCCATAAGCAAACAGTTTTTTCCTTTCCTGCACTAAGTAGCATATTTCCTTTAGGATGCCACGAAACTGAATGAACACCTCGTCTGAAAAACAGAAAATTGCAATCTTCGATTGAACTGCTGCTTATATATACATTGAAAGTAATGAGATTTCCATGTCACGAAGTAAAATATTAGCACCCCGTTATGGTAGAAAACCGACGATCAAAGTGGTTTTACCTAGTTTATATTTGGCGAATTAACAGAAAAAAACACTTTTCGTAACCAGTGTTTTACTAGGAAAAAAATTTGCAATTTTTACTTTTAAACATACAAAATACGCATATATAAGGATTGTCATAATTACAGAGAATCACCGATTTTCCTTCCCTCCAAAAAAAATACTTTCTTTTTACTGCAAAGTCAATAATCTGGCTGCAGGGATGAGAGGCGAAAATGTCATTGGATATTTTCACAAGATATCATCATCACTTTTTCCTCATTTCTCTGTCTCTCACAAGTATTAGATGAAATGTATCAGAGAGCTAATGCAATATGGAAAATGAAAATTCATTTTTTTTACTTTTTTAAAAGTAAAAACACTGAATATTCTGCAATAATTATAATTTTTATGCGTAAAATTCCGAAAAAAAGTGCTTACTCATGTCCACCCTTTTGAAGGGTTTTTTCAAGCTTGGTTGTTTTTAGATTCCAAATAAAAATGGCTCCATCACTTGACCCAGATGCAATATATTCCATTCCAGGGCTTATCGTACAACGGATGTGATCGCTTCCCGTTCGATACTGATCAGCACTATAGTAAATTTTGATGATTGATAATATTGGAAGTTAGAAAGATTCTGATCTCTCACTTTATCCACCCAAGAGAAAAACTTTGGCCAAGAGACAAAATTAAAAATAAGAAAAAAGGGGAAAGGAATCTTAAAAGTGAGATATAAAAGTGAAACAGATGGTGTGAATATCAAACTATTCCTTCTCCTTTTTCAACATATTTTTCAAAAAATAAATTATGAGGAAAGTGTTCAAGAAAAGTACCTGTATATATGAACAATTTGATAGGAACGTAGATCGATCAATGATATTGTTTCGTCACGTGCTGATGCAAGCATAACGGAAGAGTCTTAATGCAAACTGTCATAGAAATAAATGACATTTTGAGGTTAGAACATTATTTACTCCCTGTTTCAAAAATTATATGTGGCAACACAGCATTTTGTAATATAGATATTGTAAATATTCAATGTAACCTGCTGCTCATGAAAATCGATGAAAGCTATAATAATTACTTAGCAGCAAAAGAGAGTAATTTTCGATACCTTAAAAAGATTAGCAAAGAGTAGAACACACATCAAAACTTTCAAATGTAAAGCACAGTAAAAGCGTAACACCTTTTGGGCATCAATTTCCCACAATCAGTATCAGTATAGCACAAAGTAAAATATTAATTTACCAACGGACAAAACCAGTGATGTGACTTTATTGGCGAATTCGACTACACGAACCGGTTCATTAAGTTTTGTATCCCAGAATCGCACCTTACGATCATAATGACTACTTGCTACCATTTTAGTCCTATCACTCGAAATTATGTCATATACCACTGAATTAGTAAAATATGTTCTCAAACCTGAAAAGTGTAAATTTAAAAATTTCATGAACACTTCGCGATTCTCTCTTGTTTCATTAATATCTGGAATCTCTTTGAATGGCATACCTAACGATAACTTCTAGTGAGGATTGCAATTTCATTCAAAGCGAGGAATTTCCAATAAAAGTTATTGTTAAAGTCTTTTTTCATTTTGTTCCTTTTCTCACTTTGCCCTAACCTTCTAATTTCGCCATCTAATGCATTGCTAAAGAAATAATCGTAACACAGACAGAAAAAAGTAGCAAATGGAAATACAGAAAATAAAAGTATAAACGTACACTTGGCAGTTCTCAAGTCCCATAGTTTAAAAGTCCTATCGTAAGATCCAGACACAACCTGTAAACCATCTTGAAAGAATTTAGCGGACGACACCTTATTTCCATGTCCTGTTAGCGAGTGCTGAAAAAAATAGAGTCGATAAAAAATCATTGAAAAGAACAATACACTCACCACTAATCTAAAGGTATCAACTACTTTATTGAAATCCGAAACAAACTAATCAGCAATAACGAAAGATATAGAGGCAAAGTAAAGAGAATCAATACTACATTGTTGTAAAAAAATTCATAGGAGACATCGCAAAATTACAAACCTTAACCACATGATCATCTGTTCCCCAAATACGAACGGCATTATCATTGCCAGCTCCAAGAACTTTGCTGGTTTGGGCTGCGAAGTCTATCCGCAGTATTGATTCATTGGAGCCGGCCAAAGAAACACTGAATGAAAAAAAAATGGGATTAATTTGCACAAATCTTTTTTTGTTCTAGACTATGGAAATGACTGCGCCTGCTAACTTTTTGTAAAAATTTACTAGTACTGGTAGGAATTAAAAAGTTCCAGAAATTGAAAGCTATTGTTACACCTAACAACTGATATACAAGATGTATGCATACAAAAGAAAGCACAATTAATGTCTTATTACATTTTTTCAAACTTGTCGTCTACTACTTTGTACAAACGAAGTTTGTGATCGCCACCACCTCCCGCAAATATTTTGCCGTTAGGATGCCAAAGAATATCGTTAACATCATCGCCATAATCCTTGAAAAAAGTTAGAAATTATTTATTTATATACTCAAAAGTCTGATTTCTTTCCATAACAAAGAATTGGGATTACCATTCACTAAATTTCCCGATAGGTTATCTAACCTAACGATAATTTATAGAATTTATGGCACAATGAAATTTATGCAGAAATTATAGGAAAATTAACTCACCAGTTTAGCTTTACATTGACTAGGAATAATGTCACCAACGACCTGATTTGTACTGTTAATAATTTCAAACCTGCAAACTACTAATGATTCGAAATTCAAGAGTAAACGCCTTACTCCTTGGGCAGAAATTTATTACCCAAATAAATTTTCAAACTCAAAGTATAAACATGAAGATGCAGCATATTAACTGCACACTGAAACATATAGAAAAAAAATATAAGATAATATCACATGAAATGAATATTTATACTCATTAACTAACCCGTATGTTTTGTCCTCATTGTTGTGTGACATATTTAGTGCAGATTCAATATCTGCTGCTAAACGACGACGACGTTCTCTAAACAAGGGAATTTAAAGCTCTTTCCTTTGTAATAGTTAGATTTGAAAAAACCGATCGGAGTTATCAACGATCATATTTTTACATGGTAAATATCTTTGGCAACTTCGAAAAAAAGGGAATTATTTCTATTATTTTTGAAGCGCAATTCGCACTTTGAAGTTTCTCTAAAAATCAATACCCAATAAATAGACTAGTACATTCTGTCGATGAACCAAGAGAAGCAATCATAACTGGGAATCAAAACCGTGAAATTAATACGTATCAAACACTCCAAACAAATTTCAGAAGAATCAGTCAGGTCGGATTACACAGATGGAATATATCCAATTTGAGGAGTGAATATATCAAAACAAATCATATAGATATCCAATGAACTCCGTCCCATATTTAGTATGCATCTATATTTTCACTAAAATCGAAATTAAGGCGCTAAGTATTCATGCGATTTATATTATAATACGTTGGGCCTAGCAAAACGACCAATAAAGTTGATGGACTAGTGAACTGATTTCTCTGGAAAATATGGATAGTAGAGCAAGATTCTTTTCAGATCGAAATTCAAAATCAAAACAATTGCCTAAGAAAGATAAGAAAGAAGTTCGAACGAATGAAATGTTTACTCTTGCTCTCGTTCATTTTGTTCATTAATCCATTGGACTTCTTTCTCTTTGAGATCCTTTATTCGTTCAACCAAATTATTTCTTTCCTCTTGTGCTTCTCGATATTTGTTTTCAATGCTGTCATAACTTGCCTGTAAAGCAGTATGTTAATAATATTATTAATTGCATTCCTAAAAATTTTTCATTCTAATTTCATGAAAAACATGCAAATGGATGCATTGTTAAATAAATTAAGATTATTAAAAATCTACAATGCCGGAAGTTCTAGCACCGTAAAAATCTAACCCAATAAAATTATTAAAACACGTGCCTGTAGAGCAAAATGTTCATCCTTTAGCAAAGTGTTTGCCTCTTCTAGTGCAGTTAATTCCTCTTCTTTTTCTTTCAGTTTTTTCTTCAGTTTCTGATTCTCCTTTTGGCACTCTTCTTTCCTAAATATTTGTCTCAATGGAAATTACCGTAACACATCATGATTCGCAACTTAAGATAAAACATTAGTTAAATTGAAGGCCGAATTGTCCAATTTTGGAAAACAGGTCTTTCAACCGCATCACCCAGATTCCGCGAAATGAAACACCTATAAAGTAGCGCAACAAGCACGGAGACAATGATCGGCCATGCTAAGGATAATTTCTATTAATATTCCAATTAAAATTGCTCAACTCACTTAATGCATTCGAAATTTGCACATTAAAAATTAACATGAGCTAAGACTCACACAATATTAATTGCGCTTAGCTCTCGCGTAACAACACTCAAGCGGTTGTTTGTTTCAATCAATTGCTGGTCATTTTGCTCCTTTTTACGGTAAAGATCTGCAAGCTCAGCTTCCAGTTCCATCGTACGATCCGAGCTTCCTGCTCTCAAATATCACTATTGAAAATACTTCTTCCACTGAGGAATAGTTTGACAAAGAGTTTCCATACAAAAAAATAAAATGTCTCCCATCCCAATTAATTGATTCATCAAATACAGTCTTTTTATCTGGTTAAAGGCAAATGCTTTCTACTTTACATGAATTATTGACTTCTACAAGACCAGAATAATAAAGAAATAGTCAAACTTACAACGAAGTACTAGAACCATGACGCATACGTCCGCTACGTGCCATATTTGCCACATACTCTGTTAGCTCGCAATCTACAACGAAATAAAATTTTATGCATTGTTAGCTATTGTAAAACTGAAATCATTTAAAGGATCTGCAAAGATAATTCTTTTCAAAATAACAATGTTGATTTCAAATTATTATTAAAAAGCTTAAAGCTTACAAGAGGTGAACAAAGAATCGAACTGTCTGCACACAACATTTCGATGCTCAAGTTGCTGTATGATCGTTGCACGGAAGCCATTATCTATTGTATCCGTTTCGTCCATCTGTCCTTAATAGCAATTACTTCGAGCATTATTCACTCATCATAAAGGCACTCATCAGTGTGTGTGTATGTGTGTATGCGTATGTGCGTATATGAATGAATAATATCTGAAAAATGTACACATCATGCTAATCACACTAATTCACTGCAAAGATCGAAAGAGAAAATATCCAACCCGTTGAAATATCTCAATAATAACAGCCAAGAAGTAACATACGAAAAGAAAAGTGAAAGGATAATTGGAGGAACAGACTAATTTCATATCGCGCTATTCGCTAACGTGTTGCACCAGCTAATTCAATGATCTTCAAAATTGTTCAATGGCGGATAATTGGCAGTTTTCGTAGGATAGTTGTAGTGAGGGAAGGATGGTACATGTGTGCTTAGTAATTGATACATTGTGATAATTAAAGGATTGGGAAAGCTAGCAAAGTAGCAAGATAGCGTGTCAGTGAACAATTAAAAAGCTTGTTCAATTTGAAGGGAACAAAGAGAGGGAGAAGTACAATTCCCGAAACAGTAATTCCTTGAACAGTATATTTATTTTTATCTTGATAACCTTTCTGAATGAGCCGTTGAATAGATAACGGTTGGCGTTTCAGAACAAACTTCTAATGATTAAATATAATATTATGTACTGAATGTACATACATCAATATTACGTACATATGTAGTAAATGCATTCGTATATGATTATCGTATTGTATTGTTTCATCTCTACGTTATATTTTTTATTTTTACATAGTTCTATTTGTAGTTAAATTATATGATGGAGGAAAGTTGTTCAAAATGTGATCGATGTACAGATAGCCCTGAAAATATTCATGAATATGAAGAGCATCGTGTGATCGGGAAAGGTGCATATGGTGTCGTATATCTAGTTACTCATATACCCAGTAACATACAGGCAATTTTTCTAATACGATTTAAAATTAATTATTGTGCTGAGAAAATCATGTTGAGGAAATGTTATTTGGCTCTTGCTTTGTTCTGATCTGCTATCTTCTATTCTGCTATATAGCTAACTGTCTTGAAAATCGCCATAATTAATCTGTATCTTTGCGTTAGTTATCCGTAGAAATCTCCTTCATCTTGTTAGGATTCCTCTGCAGCAAACTAAATGTGTTTTGGTGTTATAACAACTGTTTTCACTTTTGTTCTTCAATCAGACGTCGTGGAATATGTAAATTCTGCTTCTTCTGAACAAAGCTTTTCCTTATATATTTAGTATGCACTATTTATACAGTTCATTACAGTATGCCTTAAAAAAAATGATTGTACGTATAACAGAAGACGGTATACCACAAAGCATTATACGTGAGATCTCTGCACTGCGAGCGCTACATAGTTTGGATCATCCAAACATTGTGAAGTTTGTTTCTTTGCACTTTTCTTTCTTATCTATCTTTGAAATCAATAAGTATTAGCAGTTTGATGGGGGCGAAAATCCATTCTATTTCTTTGTTATTATTACTAAAATTTATTTAATTTGAAAAATTTTCGTGGTTTTATGCTTTCATGTGAACCAAAAAAATTGTGGATAAAAACGGCATATCGTATCGACATGAAAATTCTTGGAAAATTTTATATACTATTGTAGATTGCACGATGTATTTCATGGTCAAATTGATAAGGGTGAAATGTGTTTGAGTGTTGTTTACGAAAAGTGTGACTGGGATTTGTATGAGTTTTTGCGCACTATCCCACGGGACATGGGTGATCATCAATGTCGTCATATTGCAAAGCAGGTAAGTTTCTAATTAAAATACAAGAAACAAGAATTTTCCTACACCTGTTGGAAAGGTTGAATAATGCATTAGGAGTAAATAAATTTATTACAGCCGTTTTAATAAATTTCATAAATGCCCTTTTAATTTCAACAAGCTATAGGAAGGACTCATTTCTGTATATGAACGAAAAACTTTGTTGTATTTTATCCATTTTCTTGATATTACAGATGTATATGTTCCTTACTTCATTATAGAAAATTGTCTCAATGAATTTATTAAATATAGTTAATAATTTTGATGTATCAGTTGTGATATTGTTTTTTTTATCGTGGTCCATGTCATTATTTTGCTAGAGATTATATTCTGCTTATTGTTTTCATTCTCACAATCAACTAATTCCTCTTGTTATAAGTCGATTACCAACTGATCGACGGCTGTAGAGTCTTATTTTCAACCGTCTGAAGTTTTTGATTTTTGAGATTTTGATGGGATTGGATTTTCTACATTCAAATCATGTTATACATCGAGACCTGAAACCTCAAAACATACTAATCAACCGTGATCAAACAATCAAAATTGCTGATTTTGGTTTAGCTCGTTACTATTCAATGCAGTCATCTTTCACAACTCTGGTAATCTTTTTATTTCTATCTTAAAAAAAGACATTTTTAGATTGTCTTTGCTGGCCATTTCAATTGTATGAATTTTAGGTTGTGACCTTGTGGTACCGAAGTCCAGAAGTTCTACTTCAGTGCTCCTATAACTGTGGTGTAGATATCTGGGCTGCTGGCTGCATCATTGCAGAATTATATTCGCGTCAACCACTTTTTCCAGCACATAGTGAAGCACAGCAATTGAGCATTATATTTCAGTAAGTTTTTAGAATTTTTGTTTTTTGTCTTAGAACTGACTTTTATAACTCTGAAAATCAAGTCAAGTTAAAGCCGAGGGCTCTCTTCTGCTTGATTTTTCAAGCTTCCCTTCCCAAACATGAAACAGATTTTATAAAGTTTAGCTGAGTGATGTTTTCATGTTGTATCTTCATATCTTGTAAATATAATGGTTTATTGCATAAACAAAATTATTGTTCACATTCAACGGCATGAATTATACTTTGCAGAAAACTTGGCACTCCGTCTTCCAGTGAATGGCCTCAAAATGCAGTAATTGAACGTTCATTCTATCCCTCTTATCCTGGTCAGCCAATGCGCCGCATTGCGCCGAAACTGCCACCGGATGCTGCAAAACTAGTAAAGGTATGCTATTTTATATGACTTTATGTGATTGGGCTTCACTTAATTTCACAGAAACTGTTTATAGGGGTTTCTGAACAATCTGGGGAAAATTAGATCAGAGACGTTGGTCTTTGTAGTTTTCTATCTGTTATTCTTTTCCTGAGAAAACTGGAAAAAATTGTAGTGGTTTTGACTTTTCAATCACATTTATGTCTAGTAGCCAGTTCTCACCAAATTAAAATTACATATAAACTCTTTTCATACTTTTTAAAAATTTCTTGTACATTTGATATAACTTTCACTATGATCATAAATTTATATGTAAAAAAAAGAAAGGCAGTCCAGTCATAATTTCAGAATATGTTAGCTTTCTTGCCGGAAACAAGACCTTCATGTGCAGAAGCATTACGTGCTGAATATTTTCGCCACAAACATGGTGCAGTTATCTAATAAGATCAGAAAAAAATAATGTGAGCTATGAGCCAATATCTCTATGCTTCTTTTTTGATCTCTTTGAACGGCCTATAATTTTCTTACACTGAATTTACTCGATATTTTTCCTCATAATTTGTGTCCTCCAGCTTTTTATTCCTGCATATGAATTATGTCTTTCTGACTGTGGTTATTGCGTTCTTTTTTTAAGGTTTTGACTTCTTTTCTAAAAAAAGTCAAATTTTCTCCCCTCATATATGCAATTCTTTCCTTGTTATAAAGTTATACACATTCCACCCGCTCCAAAAATGCAGTAAATCCTTCATTTACTATTAATTGTAAAGAAGTCACTTTGAATATTTGATATTAGAGTGGATCCTGATTAATTCCTAGTTTTTGATATTTAAAATAAAATTCAAATTTTAATAATTTTTAATTGGCTTTATTTTTTTGTTCAGAATATCAAAATCTTCTGGTTGGCTTTTAAAAAACTGTACGATATTTCCTATTTATCTTGACCCGAAACTACGTTTCAATTCTTTTTGTCACTGTCTGTTCAAGTTTGGTTATTTGCTGTAATATGTAAAAGTTGTCGATTGTGATCCATACTATGAAATTGTTTACTGTCCCGCTTTTAGTATTCTGTCATTTCGATGAACTAACCAGATTTCTGCTGAATTTTATTTCTGAAAGTTTCATTAACTGCTTTCTATTTTTGTTCTGGAATCTCGGCTATGTTACACTTTGATGTGGACAAAGCATTTTGTCGGGTAATTTCAAATAATAATCTATGTTATAATCAAAGTTCAAAAGGATATTCAGTATATTTAAGGCAGGATTATATTTTGTTCATTCCAATTCGATCAATGATAAATGCAATCAGAGTTTTTCCAAGGATATAATAAGCCTGCGATGTGAACGTTTCTATGATTGTTTATCCCAAGCAAATTGTGGTTTAATTCAAATATTCTAGTTGTCTTTCATGTTCTTGCCTTTCATTATCAAAAAAATTCTCATTCAAAAACCTGTAATTGCGGTAGCCTTTTGAGCCTATTTTCCACATCTATTTTTCATTTAATACAGATATCCCTTACTGCCATTTCCAGATTTATTATGTTGTAACGAATTTAGCCTTATTACTGGTACTATTCACTTGCCGTTTTTTCTCTTTGATTTTTTAAATAAAGTTTTTAGCTTATTTTTCGGGCATCAATGCAAAGAATGAATATAACGCAAAGTTTCTAAATTAGTTTAGAAATTTTCTATGCAGCTGGCTTACATATTTGAAAATTTTTCTGATGATATTCTTCTTTAGCTTTGTGGAAATATCAAAATTACGTATGGTACTTCTGCAAAAACTTTATTTTAGACCACAACTCAACGTTGAATACAGTTAGAATCAATATTGGGTACTCCGTTATCTCCTTGTCAAAGTTTCGTTCTTCAACTACTATCTATGATTTGGATTATAAAATATGTTCCCATGAATATCCGTATATATTTATGTTTGAGTGACCGAACAGTTTTTTAAATTCCGTAATATCCTTAAATGAAATAAATAGCTTGCTAAATTTCTGTATATTGTTTCGCATATCGTCCATTTA